AGTCATGCCGGCCCCATGACCACGGAAACGTCTTCGGACAGCGCTGGCTCTTCGGCTTTGAAACGGAGATGAGCACCGCAACCCTAGAGTCGGATTCGACTGGCTTTCGAGCAAGGGAACCTTTACCTTTACCTATATTTATTGTAATGTATATGTTATATGCTTGTGTCACAACATTTTATTGTTGATACTTGAATAAACAATTAAAAATGTGATACGGTTTCCCAACAGAGCAGGTCTTCAAGCCGCACTCAGTGGCTGCTCTGAGAAACCTCGATGTGATCTACATTAGCTGTGGGGCTGAGCATACGGCTGTCCTCACGCAGGTATGCTTGAAATTAGTTTTCTTTGTTGCTAGAAAACTGTGCTCTGACATTCGGGAATGGTTTTCCTGGAAGCTAAGGGCTCATGGAAACGGGGGGGGGGTGTATCCAGCCAGCTTTTTCACTCAATTTAACCCACTTCACCTCCTGACTGCAGCCCCCTTCCCACATGGCTTTTGGTTATCTTCTATCTTATTTATGTCAGTTATACCCCCACCTTCCTCCCAAACTGGGACCCAAGGTGGATTACGCCATTCTCCTCTCCTCCATTTTATCCTCGCAGCAACCCTGTGAGGTAGGTTAGGTTGCAAGTTCGTGACTGGCCCAATGTCACCAAGCAGGCTTCCATGGCAGCGTGGGGATCTCAACCTGGGCCTCCCAGATTCTAGTCTGTCACTCTGACCCCTACGCCACACTGGCTCTTGTGCATTCATGTTTCATGACCCCCAGCTTAAGCTCTTTTAGTAACTAGAGAAGACCCCTTGTATGATGCAGGCCTTGGGTTCTCTGCCAGGACACTCAGCTCCAGGCGCCACACTCCAGTTCGGTAAATCAGGCAAAAGTACTTTTATTAGCAAAGAGAAGGCAAGGCAACCTTGATCAACAATAATTAGAGGAACAAAGGAACATTCAGCGTCCTTCAATGGTTCCCAAAATACAAACAGTGATTAAAACCAGCCAAAACTTACTAAGACTCCAAAAGGTAGGAAAATTCTGTCCAAAAGGCGTGCACTCCCTCCCCCTTTTGGCTTTTATCCTCGGAAGGACCTGTTAAGATGCTACCCCTCCCTCTATATCTAATTAAGATATCTCCGCTGTGCAGCTCTAGCAAAGCTAAGAACCGGGCAGTTCCTGCAATAACTTGTAAGGTTGCTCTTCCCCCTCCTGCCCTCTTTCGGTTCTTCAGTGTTGCTGTTTTACACACAAGCTGGTCTCTTCCTTACACCCCTCCTTCCTTTTCCACAAGAAGAAAAGCTAGTTGGACCCCACCCATTATGGACCCCGCCTATATAGTCACAGGAACGTTGTTAAATAGCTTTCTAATGTGGTTTGGCCTAATAAAAAGCCAGTGTTGCTGTGACTTCAGTGTCAGACTAGACCTGGAAGACCTAGACTCAAATCCTCACTCTCTCAATCTTCATCTACTTCACAGGGTTCTCTTAAGAGTAAAATGGGGGAAAGCTACATGTGGTTACCCCAGTCTTCCGTCAGGTCACGTCCCAGATCTTGTAATACTGTAACAGAATCTGCATCAAAAGATGCAGAGATGGGTCAGGGAGGCTTTGATGCCCGTAATGATGCAGATGTGCTTCATTTGCACATATAAGAGCCTGTCCCTGCTTGTGGTTCTCCCGTGCTGGATCAAGCATTGAGGGCTCAAGGTGCCTTTATTTGTTAAGCTGGGCTGTTGCGAATCAAAGTGTTTTGGTCTAGCGACCTACCTGCATTTCTGCATGTGAGCATGGTCCAGCTATTTCAGCCTGATTTCTTAGATAGGGACAGATAAAAATGAGAACTGAAAAAGCATTTAAAAAAAAGTGGGGAAAGTGCTTATATTATTACTCACAAGATGCCATTGTGCACTAACACAGCTGTGGTTTGCTTAAACGCTAAACAGGACGGCTGCGTTTTCACATTTGGAGATGACTCTGCTGGGCAGCTGGGGCGGAGCTCTTCTACCCAGAAAACTGGCCCCCAAAGAGTTGACTGGATTGGAGGTCCGGTTTCTCTTCTGGCATGTGGAAGGTATGTACTGTGGCTTGCATCCTGCGTTGTTTTTGTAAGGGAACGGGAGAAAGCCATGCAAGAATCATTGTAGATATCTCATATGTCTTCCATGCTAGATGTAACAAAGCAACCACTGTTTGTAGCTAGGGGGATATCTTTCTGCTGCAGGCCAGGCAGCTGATAAATAAATGAATGTGGTCACTCACAATCCCTGTTAAAGCCCGTTAAATTATGTTTATGGACACCAGAACGATAGAAGGCAACAAGCAAGCATGAAGGTTCCTCCTAGGCAGCCTTGCGACTTGCCATTTTCACCAGACAGAGTAGGAGCCACCATCAGCTGTGCCCTGAATGGCAAAACACACAGTCACGCCAGCCGAACAGCAACCGTACTGCCGCCTCTCTAGCACTGCACTGTGCTTCATAAAGGGGCAGCGCTAAGAGTCTGTACACTTCTCTAGCAAGGCATTAAACAGACAGTGAGCATTGTAGTACTAAAAGAGTGATACCTTCACAAGCAGCTGCTTCTCTGTAGCACAGGACAGTGTTGGTGGCTACATGGAGGGGTTCACACAGGATCTCTGTGAACACCCCCTCCCCCATCTGCTCACTAAGGGATTGTTAGTTGTACTTCTTCATACTACTCCTTTTTGTGGTTAATATTCTGTTGGACTTGTGGTGTGGCCTTGCCGACAGGCAGAAAGGGAGGAGACAAACTGTGTATGCATCAGAGAGGGGTCATACAGGAAAAGGTAAGTCCTGGTCCGTATAGCAGCCCTGTAGGTAGCTGTCTTCCATCCTCCATTTCCCCATGTAACACTGAATTCACTGGGATCCTCCTCTACAGTGGCAACCCACTCACTCACACAAAAGTTCTGTTCATACAGTTTCTGTTCTGTTCTGTCATGTAGGAGAGGGGAATTGCACTGACAAGACCATCGCATCATGGGTCATCTCTGTTGTAAAATAGTCAAAAGTCTTTAATACTCAGACTATCAATGGATCTTGCTCTATTGGAAAGAAGAGATTTCTTTGCTTTTAAAAACCTTTATTTCTAAGGGTAAAAGGTTCACGGGATTACTACAAATTAACATAACACTAACAGCTACATTTCTAAGCTGCCTATAGTCAAAACTAGCACACAGATAATGGAGAATCTCTCCTTCTTCTTGACCCCTAGAAAGGAAGTCACCTGAAACAAATGACCAATCTGTATCACAGTAGAAGCTACTTTTCCCGGGCTAATTCCCCATTGGCTTAGTGCCAGGTATCCCTTCCATGTCAGTCTAAACAATAGCAATACTAGGAATACAAGTTAACCCTATAATGACTGAATCATCAGACCTTGTAAACACATACATTTCCAACAATCTCCTGGCTCACAAATTCCTTCAGATCTGTGTTGGGGGTGGGGGAAACTTCTCACCTGATGGTGAACAGACCATTTTGGTCATAACATACACCTCTCTTGTTTTTTTCTCCCTCTAACAGCTATCACACTCTTGCTTATATCGCTGCTTCCGGTGAGCTGATATCTTTCGGACGTGGATGCAGAGAACGCGGAACAGCTTCTTGCGAGCAGGAAGAGATGCAGAACTTTAACATTAGTGCACTTATTTCTGCTAATGGTATCCTTTCCTTCCTTTTTTTAAAATTAAAAAAACCCCTATTATTTTAATCTTGTATACAAAGCACTTTACAGTGGCCATGATCCAGCCAGAATTGAACCCTTCCTTCGGGGATTCATCTGCGATTAATTAAAAAACAACCCCTCTTCTTTTACTCTTGTATACAAAGCACTTTACACAGTGGCCATGATCCAGCCAGAATTGAACCCTCCGTTTCCATTTATTTCACATGGAGAGTTTTAAGTAACACCATAGCCCTCAGCTCATGAAGCCTCCATGCCTTGCCTGATCCAACGTGGATGGACAGAAGGACCTGAGAGTGCTGACCCCGCCCCCTGTAGCTGCATGACTGACAGGTCATCTGCACAGTGTAGACACTCAGAGGAGGTGTCCATGCATACCATGCCTTGTGACTGGGCATGCTGCTTTCCAAACACTGCCAATCACAGGGCGGAGGAGCTTATGTGCAGACAGCAGGGGTCATTTGGGGGGGGGACGCGGGGGGATGCCATCCCCCCGGGTGAGGTGCGGGAGGGCAGGGCCTGGGGCTCCCTGCTGGTGCCCGCTGGAGGTCGCCGCCGGCTGTGGGGAGGACACACTTCCGGTGATGTCAGGGGGTGTGGCATATGCTAATGAGTTATGCTAATGAGTCCCCCTAGCTCTTTTTCTACGAAATGACCCCTGGCAGACAGATTCAGGGGCAGGGCCAGTCTCCATATTCAGTCAGCTTGCAGAGGGGCTGTGCGTACAGGGCTGTTGTTGAGGGAGCAACAATGTGCTCTACTTTTTTGGTATGAGGTTCAGACAGAGTTGGTAGCAAGTCATAGAAATGTAAAAGGAACCCGTGGGGATTGTGTTAAGCATCAGAGGAGCTGCAAAGAAAATCGAAATCTGACGTTCACTAAATATTTCCCTTTGATAGTACAGCAATGGAAGATTAGAAAAGAAACTGGATAGTAATACCCTATTACAGACCCAGAGGGGTTGCCACGTGAGTGTGTTACAGCAAAAATAAACAGAAGTCTTGTGGCCCTTATAAAGGCTGAGGCTGCAATGCTCTGGATTGGAATAAGCCCCATTAAATGACATGGGACCAACTCCTGAATAGACTTGTTTAGGATTACTCCCCAGCAAGATTTTACTCCACCATGACCTTCTGTGGACTGTGTGCCACTTTTTCAGATGTATGCATTGGGTCTTCACTGGACAGAGATTATATGTGGATATGAAGAAAGAAAGATTTAAAAAGCAGGGTCAAATACCCAGGAAATACAGGTGGAAAGTGCTATCAGTTGCAGCCAACTTATAGCAACCCCATTGAGTTTTCAAGGCAAGAGGAGACCAGAGGTGGTTTGCCATTGCCTGCCTCTGCGTAGCAGCCTTGGATTTCCTTGGTGATGTCCCATCCAAGTACTAACCAGGCTGGTAGCTTCTGAGATTGGGCTGGCCTGGGCCATCCAGGTCAAGGAAGGCAATACAGGGTGAGATGTAAATATGTAAAATTCAAATGAGATTGTTAACATGAGTACTGGTTGACCAAGCTAGTCAGCATCTGTAATGGTTGAGGTCCTTGATTCAGCCTTGGTGGTGGTGGGGAGGTTGTGTTAAAACTCTTGATGAGAAAGGGGTTAAGAGCCAGCTAACTCCACCAACCTTAAAACCGGCAGCAGTGCATTGCAAAATCAACAGGCTCACAGAAATAGAACTGTATGAGAATGACCTGCGGACACACCAAAACGCAAAACAAAACCATTAGCAGCCTGAGATTGCTGCAGATAATCTATTGTTCTCCATCAATGGAGGAAGGTATCTTGAATGAGTTGTGGGTCCACCTTGCTCCATAGGCAGGGCATATGCAGATTTTTTGTGTGCAAAGGCTTCTGCTATCCTGAGGAAGCATTCAATCCCACCACACCCCATTCATATCTGCCAAGCTTCTGAAGAAGATGAGCCCACCTCTCATGTAGCAGTCACTGATGAAAATCAACTTCTCCCTAGAGACTGGTAATTGGAGATACTGTCCAGCTGAAGAACAGGTGAGGAAAAGCCCAGACGTTCTCCTGATCAATGTAGGGGGGTTCCCCTCTCTTATTCCCACCAGGGATATTCAGGCTTTTCAATATCCCATACAAGGAAACCCTCCTCCACTGTTGGAGAACACAATATTGGACTTGCCCTGAGGGAGAATTGAAAGGTATCCTTCCCCATATTGGGCAGAGAAGGAACTGGAGCGGAACTCCCTGTGTTGATGGGGAGACTGGGGTATCTAATCAGACAGTTCAAAAGCTTCTCTGTAGGTGTCCATCAAGGATCCAGGGCACTAGAGAAGAAACAAAAACAGCACATCATAAACGATATTTGAACATTTAGCACTGACACCATTTCATCCCTTGCAGAATTGTTGGACGTCCCGGTAAAACAGATTTTTGCTGGAACATACGTCAGCTTTGCCAGCACAGTTCAACCACAGGTAGAGTCACTTGTACGTTCTGTTGACTAGAGAAAATTTGATCCGGTATGTGCCACCTGCAGCTTGTATCTTCTGGCTAACTGAGGCTTTAAATAAGTAATATATTTGTAGCAGCAAACAGTGTGAGCTTGGAACCAGAATATGTGTTCAGACCTGGTATTAGACAAGCAGCTCCCCGAATGTCCTTAGGTGCCCACCAAATGTTTTTAGAAAGTAGGTGGGGGCAGATGGGCTTTCGCCCAGCAGGGCTTCTGATTGGTCACTGGAGATTTGATTGGCCATGCAGATTGTTAAAAATATTGCTCTGGCAGCAGCACCATCACAGCACAGGGCGCCTTTCCCCTAAGATCCTTACAGATAAGTGGTCTGGTGTTTGAAATGCAGAAACTTTATGGATTATTAATCAGTATGTCAGGTATCAATAACGTTAAAGTGTATAGATTCAGGGGGGTAGCTGTGTTGGTCTGAAGCAGCAGAGCAAAGTTTGAGTCCACTGGCTCCTTAAAGACCAACAAAAATTTATTCTGGGTATAAGCTTTCCTTTGCATGCACACTTCTTCAGGTACTTTGAAACAGAAGTCACCAATCATTACATATATGTAGAGGGTGGGGAGAGTCTTGGCAGGAAGGGCTAATTAGAGTCAAGATGCATAAGTAACTGAGCAACAGATATAGTTCAGATTGGATTAAGGCAGTTCACAAAACCTGTGAATCACAGCAAAGCAAATTAGCATATAGCATAATAAAAGAGTTTATAAACAGATGCGAGAACTGAATGACCTTAGCATGTGTATTGAGATACAAAACCGACATCTTTGTTAAGCCCTGGGGGTTCTGTTGTCCTGAGTGTTGTACTTGTAACTCAGCAATCTCCTGTTCTAGTCTGTTTCTGAAATTCTTTTGGAATAGAATGAATCCAACTTTGTTCTGTTAAAAATGTATGATTCGTTAACGCAAATTAGCTTTCTGTTAGTGGTTCCTTGCTCTGAATTTGGTTTCTTCTTGCTTTGGAACTTTATGTAACTTGACTCATTTTACTATTGGCTTTTTCTGTTTTGTTTTAAAGGTACCTAAATACACAAACACAGCCTGCTCTGTAGAAACCTTGCCAAAGATCAGCCAAATGGACAGAGCACTGATTGACAAGTGGATGTCAGCGACAGCAGAGAGTGAAACACACCTGGAGGCAAAAAGGTATTGATTGTTTCTCTTGTTTTATGGGGAAAGGGAGAGCAGGGAGCCCTAAGGCACATGCCTCAAACCAAAAATGACTGCCACTGTCTGTTGACTTCCGATGAGAGAGCCACTGCATAGAACACCATTGCAATATTGGTGTTTCTCAGCTGTTCATATGGAGATACTGTGGCATAGGGGTAGAACCATTTGCTTTGTTTGCAGAAACACCCAGGCTTAGCAGGACATCCGGTTGAAATGTCTTGGGTAGTAGGTATGGGTCAGAAAAGTAGACCTTTGTCTCCTTCTGAGACCTTAAAGAGTTGCTGTCTGTCCAAGTGGAGGAGGAGGAGGAGATTGGATTTATACCCTGCCCTTCACTACCCAAAGGTGTCTCAGAGCGGCTTACAAACTCCTTTCCCTCCCCCTCCCCACAACAGACACCCTGTGAGGTAGGTGGGGCTGAGAGAGCTCTGACAGCAACTGCTCTTTTTCAAGAACAGCTCTTATCAGAACTACAGCTTGCCCAAGGTCATGCAGCCAGGTGCAAGTGGAGGAGTGGGGAATCAAACCCGGTTCTCCCAGATTAGAGTCCGCGCACTTAACCACTACACCAAACTGGCTCTCAGTAAACTGTAGTGGGACCTAGAAGGACTTGGTAGTAAACACCTCTGTATATTCATTTGATGGGTCTTTCCTCAAACATGATGGATGTGTCAGAAGAAAATCCAGCACAGATGTAAGAAGACTGACATTTTTGTTCATTATAGATGTTTGATTATCATTTTTTTTACTTGTAGAGAAATAGAAGTGATATTTTCTTCACCTGCCTGTTTAACTGCAAGTTTCTTAAAACCTAGGTAAGTAGTTGAATTTTTGCAGAAAGTTGGTGGCAAATAAGGTGTTTTGGGGTGGATGATGTGTTGCAAGCATTCTTGTCCCTCCTTCCATTATGCTGTATCTCCCTTAGGTCTGCCCTGGAAAATGGCTGCTGTATAGCAGTTGATCTACAAAAAGCAAGAGAGGTATTCTGTGAGCTTACCAAAAGAGACTGGATTGCTGGCAGGGTAAAGAATCTCCTAGTTTATGACAATGTGATAGTGGGTGCCGTTGGTAGAGAAATGTGTCCAGGAAAAATAATGTATTTTGAAAACAATGGAGAGAAATGGTAGATAGAGCTGTGTGCATTCCAGGCATCTACAGCAGCCCTCGCAGAATTGTGACATTTGGTATTGGTAGCACAATTTGTCATCCCAAGAATTGGTTTTCTAAAAAGAACAATCAAGTTTCTAGCCCTTATTAATGCTGAGATGAGCAAGAGATGACCCTGAGATGAGCAGGAATATGTGTGGGGCGTGCTTGAGAAAATCACAGGTGGTACACAGAGGAACTCCTACTGGTCATAAATTTTGGAAGAGTAGCAATGCCTGTATGTTTCAGCAAAAAAGCTGGAGATCTCTGGCTTGAAAACAATGTGTATTTGACCAAGTCTGGCATGAGGATCTAACAGACCCCAAAGTAGGTCATAGATATGGGAAGAAATGGGCGGTTGCATTGGGCATGCCACCGACATCTAAGAAAACAAAACCAGCCCTTTATTGAGTGTTTCCCTTCCATTTCATGGCATTAGAAATGCAGCAAAGATTGGGGAGAAAATATAACAAAATTAAGAAGATACGGCATTTTCCCAGCAAAAACCCTGATGCTGCTATGCTTTATCTGCACCAGCAGCAGGGAAACCACAAAATCCTGACGCCCTGTGGAAGGCACCATGGAAACTTTCCCTTTTCATGTCACCTGTGAAGTACCAATGAGATAATGCAATTGTCCCAATGTCCAGGGAAAGGCACTTTGTGGATGCTCATAAACACCATTCTTTATGATCAATTTCCCATGCTTCCAGGAAAGCTCTAGCTCAGATTAATTGTATGTTGGCCCATAATTTTTAACATGGTTGCTTTAAAATTTACATGGGATTACACATGCTAAGAGACCCTTGTGTCATGTGAATTTCCCCTTCAGTGCATAAGGTGTTGTACAACTTGAGTTGTACAGCTTGTCCTGTGTCCTGGTGGTGCCATCACGTTATGAATTTCCTGTCCCCTACTCTGTTTCCTAGCCTGGTGTGGGCCAGGAACCACACAGCATAAGGATCAGAGGTCATTTCGGGCGGGGGAACGCAGTTCCCCCAGGTGAGGTACCGGGGGGCGGGGCATATGACGAAGCCCCGCCCCCTGCTTCCGGCCACCCCGCTTCCGGCCCTTATTCAGCCAGGAGGAGGCAGGAGAAGAGGGAGGGTAAGTTGCTTCCTCCCTGCCTCTCCCCACCCCTGCCTGCCTGGGGCCAGGGAGGGCCTTCGCGGGGCTTCCTTGCTTAGGCTAGGCTTCTCTGTCTCCTTTCGACTGCAACCTGCATGTGAACTGAATCCACTTGAATTTATTTGTTTATTTTATTGGGCTTATAACCAGCCCTCCCTTGCGCAGCAGTGTTAAGTTCTACTTTTTGCAATATACTTCTTGGGAAGATTAATTATTGCACTCAGAATCGTGCTTCTATGATTGGGCAAACTCTCTTGTGTTAACCAAATGCCCCAGTAATCCCTAGTGTAGTGCCCAAGGGCACTGTGATGACCTCTGGCACTTCTCCTGGTGATGTGATCCAGTGAAATGGGCCAAGGGCACTGTGAAGGGCAAGACCCGTTATTGGCTCCCTTCATGCCGATAAAAGGGCTTTCCCGACTGCAGCTGTTGTCAGTTGTTGGTGGAGGATCCCCATGTAAATAAGCAGCAACGCCAAGCAGCTGGGGGAAGGGCACACCATTCACCAACTAAGCTGCAGTGAGGCTGGGTAGGGCTGCCCAACGCCTGGGCTGTGGCAAGTCCAGATGGGTGGGTGGTGCCGTCAGTGGGGCTCCACTGGGGAGGGCAGAGGGCCTGTGTAGGGGTTGGCCACACCATTCACCAACTAAGCTGCAGTGAGGCTGGGTAGGGCTGCCCAACGCCTGGGCTGTGGCAAGTCCAGATGGGTGGGTGGTGCCGTCAGTGGGGCTCCACTGGGGAGGGCAGAGGGCCTGTGTAGGGGTTGGCAGAGTTGTTGAACTGCCCCTGCAGCAGCTTTTCTCCGAATCTCCTTATTTCCTTGGTTTCCATTCATTGTTTTTCGGTAGCCTTGTCATCTCTTCAAGATTTCTCAAATCAGGTCTAAAGTGGCTGGAGAAAGCATGGATAAGAGATGAGGAAACCAGGGGAAAGACAGTAAATTGGAAAATGAGGAAGTGAGGGGCCTCCGTGGAAAAACCAGCTCCAGTTTAGCTCACAGACTTTTGGGGAACCTCTGTGTGGAAAGGCCCTCCCCTCACGTCATCTCGCTGTGTATTCCCTTTTTCCCCCCCCCCCCCCGGGGTCCTCCGGGTTTACGTGTGGTTATTCGTCTTCTCCTTGCTCTATCCTTGCTATTTTCAAAGTAGAACTAAAAAGTTGGTCAACCCCACCCCTTGACATTTTGGGCTTGGCTCTGCCGCCTGTGGGCAGCCATTTTGTAGTGGAGCTCACCATCCTCTGTAGAGTTACCAACCTCAAGGTGAGGCCTAGGCGTCTCTTGAAATCACAACTGCTCTCCAGACTACACAGATCAGTTCCTGTGGGGGAAATTGCAGCTTCAGAGAGCCAACTGCAGGGCATCACAGCCCGGCTGAGCTCCCTCCCCAAGCACTGCTCCAAAATCTCCAGGAATTTCCCAAGCCTCTGTCAAAACATGGATGATCTTGGTCGGACCTCTTTCTTGCACCCTGATCTGATTCACCAGGTTGTTGTGGGGATAAAGTGGATGGGAGAACTGTATACTCTGCCCTAAGCTGCTTGGAGAAAGGGTTGGATAAAACTTTTAGATCCTATGTTTGTTTCATAACATTCCGAGCTGTGCAGTGAGTTGTATAGTTGTTAATCTTTGCTGAAGAGAAGAGTTGCATATTCTCTTCCTGCCCCTCTCTTTTTCTTCCAGAAAAATATTGGCTGTCCTTGCCAGTGCCTTTTTTTGACAGAATTGTTCAGATGTGTAAGAAGGCCGTGGTGTCTCAGCTACCTGATTACTACAATTATCCTCTTTGCCAGGAAATCATTCCTGTCCTGGAAGTGCTTAAAAAACTATACAAGGTAGGCAGTCTTAGTAACTTTTTTGTATGGCTGGGAGACGTGACACCGTTTGTCTAAATGTTTCTATAAACACAACTTGTTTAAAAATATGGTGAAAGGCAGGAAGGTTGGAAAGAGAGGAAGGCTGGGCACCGCGACACCTGCCAGCCCTTCTGGTGCCCACCGTATGCTCATGGGGAGTGGGTTGGGGGCACTGTGAATTTGTATAAATGCAATTTGTCTGAACTCTTTTTTTTTGTCTGAACTCTTGATGGCATTTGTCGTTCAAGGTAAACAAGAAGGCGGGTTGTAAACTTGAACCGCTTCTATATTGATGACATCTCCCAGAAAATTGTCCTTCTTGTTGATTTCGCCAGATGGCGCGCCTGGATAGATAACCTTGTGAGTATTTGTGGGTTGTCCAGTTTGTGCAAGCTGTGTAAACATATCCTACAGAATTTCTAAGGGCGCGGTGTCCTGTGCATCGGCACATCTTAGGAGGTTACACAGTCCCAAGGGAGAAGGCACTCTATAACCATCCCAGGCCTGGCTCCTCCAGCTGAGTGTCTCGAGTAACAGGACTGGACAAGATCTCTGCATGGGGCACTGAAGAGCTGCAGCTGGTCAGTAATGGAGCCGATGGATAACTATCCTGATCCATAAAGAGCCAGATTTGGTATGCCCCTAGCATTGCCAGGTCCCACCTTGCCACTGACGGCAGGGTAGGGTTGTCAAGTTCCAGCCTGGAAAACTTTGGGGGATGGAGCCTGGGGAGGTCAGGGACCTCAGTTGGCTCCAGTGTCACAGATTCCACCCTCCAAAGAATCCGTTGTCTCCACGGGAACTGATCTTTGTGGTCTGGGGATGAGCTGTAATTCCGGCCGATCCCCAGGTCCCACCTGGAGTCTGGCATCCCTAGATGCCCCGTTTGGCCTTTCCTGTTCTGCCACCCTCCCATGAGTATTATTGCATTCCACTTTTAACCACCCCTTTAGTTTCTATTACCTAAACCATAACTTTATGTGCTCTCTTTGTGGGAACTTTGAGAACATTATGGAGGTATCACCCTAAAATGGCTGCCTGCCATGGGAAGCACTGCCAACCACAAAATGGCTGCCATGGGGAACTGGGGCCATTTGTGCATTGGGACGTTCCAGGCCAAGTGTCCTTCTGTGATGGTGTCAGCTGCTTCTGAGCGAGTGCTCCTTTGAGACACAAAGGTGACACCTCCTGGCCTCTGAGGGAGACACCTCCTGCTCCAAAAAGGTGGGGAATAGCCAAATGTGGCTTTTTGCCACATCTGCATGCATCATGGTGCTCATGGTGCCCCACTGGAAATCAGCGTGCTACGTATTTCAAGTTCACAACACTTAATTAACCAAGAGTTGCATTAGCATCTGAAGACTTCCTCTGAAAGCCAAGCAAGAAATGTGTTTCCCCCCCCCCCCAGTTAATGTATGGAGAGGGGATGACCTCTCATCATGTTGGTTCTACAAGCGGACAACTCATTTGGACACTTCTTTTGTCGAAGGGCAGCCGTTTTGTGTCATTGGAATCAACTCCAGGTAGCAACAGGGCTGCAGTTATGTGGCTCGCTTGGGAAATGTAGCAGCACAGCAGGAAAAATATCATTATCTTCCCCTGGTCTAAAAAGAAGGCAGAAACATGTTGATGCTGAGTAGAGTTTAATGGGGTGGAGACCTGGAGAGGGAAGACCGTCTGTCTTACCTGTGGTCCCTTCTTTCCTTCGCAGACTCCTTTGTCTGTCATCTCTTTCTGCAGCTTTCCTTTTGTTTTCAATCCCGTATCCAAGATGCAGCTATTTTACCTTGAAACTACTCTCCGGCAAGAGGTAAGCCTGGTGTGGTACCTAGAATGCTGTTGCCAGCTCTCTGTTTTATGTATGTATGTATTTCATAGAATTGGAAGGGATCTCCAGGGTCATCTAGTCCCACCTCCTGCACAATGCAGGAAATTCACAAATACATCCCCCACACACACACACAGTGACCCTTGCTCCATGCCCAGAAGATGACAAAAAACCCTCCAGGATTCCTGGCCAAACTGGCCTGGAGAAAAATTGTTTCCTGACCCCAAAGAGGCAATCAGCATTTCCACGAGTCTGTACGAAAGGGCCATGAGAACTAAGCACTGATGCAACCCTTCCTGCCCTTCCTTCTCATAATTTGCTTAAGAATCAGCATTGCTGTCAGATGGCCATCTACCCTCTGTTTAAAAACCTCCAAAGAAAGAGAGCCCACCACCTCTTGAGGAAGCCTGTTCCACTGAGGAACTGCTCTAACTGTCAGGAAGTTCTTCCTAGTTTTAGCTGAAAACTCTCTTAATTTAATTTCAACCCGTTGGTTCTGGTCGGACCTTCTGGGGCAATAGAAAACAACTCTGCACCATCCTCTATATGACAGCCGTCCAAGTACTTAAAGTTGGTGATCATATCACCTCTCAGGCTAAATATACCCAGCTCCCTCAACCTTTCCTCATACGACTTGGTCTCCAGACCACTCACCATCTTCGTTACCATCCTCTGGACATGTTCCAGCTTGTTTATATCCTTCTTAAAGTATGCTGCCCCAAACTGAACACAATACTCTAGGTGAGGTCTAGCCAGAGCAGAGTAAAGCGATATCATCACTTCACGTGATCTGGACACTGTACTTCTGTTGATACAGCCCAAAATTGCATTTGTCTTTTTAGCTACCACACCACACCACACCGCTGACTCATGTTCAGTGTATGGTCTACTAAGACCCCTAGATCCTATTCACGCATATTACCGCCAAGACAAGTCTCCCCCATCCTATAATTATGCTTTTGATTTTTCCTACCTAAATGCAGAACTTTATGTTTACCCCCATTGAAATTCATTTTATTTGTTTTAGCCCAGTTTTCCAGCCTGTCAAGATCATCCTGTATCCTGACTCTGTCTTCTACCATATTTGCTACCCCTCCCAATGTAGTATCATCTGCAAATTTAATAGGCATTCCCTCTATTCCTCTGTCCAAATAGTTTATAAATATGTTGAACAAAACAAGTCTCAGGACAGATCCTTCAGGCACTCCACTTGTTACTCCTCTCCAAGAGGATGAGGAGCCATTCACAAGCACTCTTTGGGTGCGATCTGTCAACCAGTTACGGACCCACCTAACAGTCATAGGATCCAAACCACATTTTACAAACTTGTCAACAAAAATATTATGTGGAACCTTATCAAGAACATTTAAAACACTTATTAGCCTCCTTTCTCCTTTGTGGACTCAAGGCGCTTTACAATATTAATAAAATGTTATATTAAAATTAAAAAAACTATTATAAAAACCCACAAAAAGTCAACAACTCCAATTAGAACTGCCAATAAAAAAACTGAATCAATCATTTAACATAGTTATCCCAGGATGCTGAGATAAATTTTTTGTCTGATAGAGCTTCTAAAATTGGCATCCATTTAGCTTCGAACCCAAAATGTACGACGTTCCTTTTATTTCTGTTAACTTTATCAGTGATGCTTTCCATAATGAACTGATTCCACAGCTTCTTGTACCAAGTTTGAATGGTGACCTTTATGTATATTTTTATTGTTATATTTGTTTTATTGTTTTAATCCTACCAATAAAATGTTAATGAGGAAAAAAAAACTGAATCAATCAAAAGCAGTCCTAACTAAAACTCTCTTTAGCTGCCTTCTGAAGATCAACAGTGAGGGGGCTGGGCACAACTCCTTGAGGAAGATTTATAATTTATTTGTTTAATTGATACCTCGGCCTATCCCAAGGATGGGCTCAGGGCTGTTCACAATGTAAAACCAGCAAGCAATAAAAATAATAAAACAATAAACAACGATAGCAGGTAAAATCAAACCCATGCTCCCTAACATAATTACCCCCCAAAGAAATATCCCAGTGCACAAGTAGTACCCAGGACAGCAGGGCACTGGGAAAAGGTCACGAACAGTGCCATGGATAGGACAGGGCGGGGGGGGAAGGCCTGGCAGAACAGCTCCATCTTGCCAGCACTGCGGAATTGTAATCGGTCCCACAGGGCCCTGAAAATGGGAGCATGTTCCACCAGTCTGGAGTGAGGGCCAAAAAAGCCCTCGCCCTGGTCGAGGCTCAGTGGACATCCCTTGGGCCAGGGACCACCAGGAGATGTCGATCAGAAGAGCATAAAGCTCTCTGGGGCTCATATGGGGCAAGGCAGTCCCATAGGTATGATGGTCCCAGGCTGCATAGGGCCTTAAAGGTCAAAACTATAAACTTGAACCGGATCCAGTATTCAATCAGCTAAGTCCTGGCAGGTAAGATAGGGAAGCAGTTGCCTGATTAGCCAAAGGTGATAAAAGGCCAATCTGGCAACCGAAGTGACCTGGACCTCCTTTGTAAGCAAGGAATCCAGCATCACCCCAAGACTCCTTACCCTTGGTGCTGGCAGCACTGGTGCCCCACCGAAGACCGGGATCCTAATTCCTGATCCCAACCCCCCATGACTCAGGTACAGGACCTCTATCTTCATTAGATTCAACTTCAGCCGACTCTGCTGCAACCATCCAGCCACAGCCCCCAACACCTGGCCCAAGATATCTGGAGCAGAGTCCTGCCGTCCATCCATCAGCAAATAGAGCTGGGTGTTGATGACAACCCAGCCAAACCCCCTGGATCAACTGGATGAGGGGGCACATCTATATAGTATATAACATGTAACGAAGCCAGTTTGGTGCAGTGGTTAAGTGTGCGGACTCTAATCTGGGAGAACCAGGTTTGATTCCCCACTCCTCCACTTGCACCTGCTGATGTGACCTTGGGTCAGTCACAAGCTCTGGCACAGCTGTCCTTGAAAAAGAGCAGTTTGTGTCAGAGCTCTCTCAGCCCCACCTACCTCACAGGGTGTCTGTTGTGGGGAGGGGAAGGGAAAGGAGTTTGTAAGCCGCTCTGAGACCCCAAGTGAAGGGCGGGGTATAAATCCAATCTCTTCTCTTCTTCTTCTTCTTAATTTATTTTGGGGCTGCCACCAAAAAGGCCTTTGCTAATGTGTGGTCTTTTCCTCTCTACTCCAAGTGGTCTTCCAGCATAGCACAGGGAGGTAGGGCTGGATCGGAAGCTAGCTGTTCTACTGCTGATCAGCACAGCTGCCTTCTGAAACTATCCAGTCACAGTATGCGTATAGGGTTCGAGAAAGGAGAGGAGGGGCCCATTTTAAAGTTGCAGGAGGGTCTGTGGTGCAGAAACATTCCCATGGTTCACCTGTCTGTAGCTCCTTGCCCAGCAGAGGTCGCATCAGGCATCGTCCAGAACCGGATGCTAAAATGACTAGTGTTTTGGCTTGGCTCTAGAAGCGAGTGATGGTGCCTGGGCAAATGAGAGCGTAGATAATCGGTGCTATTTGTGCTGGATGGGTGGGGACCAAGGGAGCTCCCTCCACAGCCATGCCCTAGAGCAGTGGCTTTCCAAGGAGGTGGGTTAGGGTTGCCAAATCTAAATCTCTTACCGGCGGGGGAGCGTTTTCTCGGTCTGGGAGCCAGCCGGGGATGCGCGCAGCCACCGGAACGTCACAGGAAGTGACACATGACATAGCACGTTGGGGGCGTGGCCAAGATCATCGGTTCCCCCCCGACAATCTGGGCCACGCCCCCAACGTGCCCTACGTCGTGCGTCACCTCCGGTGACGCAGCTTCGGGGGCGGGGTTCCCCCCGGGGCCGATTTCCATCGCATCGGAAATCGGCCCTCCAAAGCGGGGGATTCCCCGCCCCCCAGGCCCATTTGGCAACCCTAAGGTGGGTGCGTGCTATGGGCCTGCATCCCTCCTGAGCAGGGGTCTGTTGGGGATAGACGGGATCTCCTATGATGTAACATCGAAGACAGCTGCAGAGACAAGCCCCCCTCCTTATGCTTGCTGGGATCTAAATGGCTAAAATATTGGATAAATAACTCCTTTTCCCTTTTATTTTCCTCCAGTTCATAAAGGCAATAGCCCAGCAAAGATTACTCCACAACCTACTGAACAGAGTTGATGAATATCCCAAACTGCCTTTCTTTCCCTTGCGGGTACGGCGCCATAACCTTCTAGAAGATACATTTCAAAAATTGAGTCAGGTGGAAGATGCCTCCCTGAAAATGCAATTGTTGGTGAGTTGGCATTGGGCAGTGTTGTCGCTCAGCTCTTGGAAAGGCTGTCGGTAACTGGATGTGGAGTGGGCAAAATGTGACTCCAGAGACACAATTGTAGATTGCAAAGGACTTAAAGGGGAGGGTCTTGGGCAGCCTGGAGAAAATGCGTTGGAGTATATTACAGGAAGGCACCATAGGGCAAGAAAACCTGTCTTCTTCCTGCAGAGCTGGACTATCAGCCTGCAGTAGCTAGAACGTGACAACTTGAACTACTGATCAGCTCCTGAACTCTGAACTCCCTTGCTTAAAAATGACCCTCTAGAACAGGGGTGGCCAAACTGTGGCTAGGCAGCTGCATGCGGCTCTTTCACATGTATTGTGTGGCTCCCGGCAGGGCGGCTGGGAAAGCGAGGGGGGCATGCCTCCCCAGTTGGTCTTCCCTTCCCCAGCCAGTGTCCCCTTCCCTGGGTAGGCTTGAGATGAGTGGGAGCAGAGAAAGAAAGCAACTTTAATTTTAAATGTGTTCTCAAAGCCCACCTACCCCCCACAGGCCTACAAATATCATTGGACAAATATCATTATCAGTATCTGTTTTTACCCCTTTTGCTTTTATTTTTGGCAGTCTCATTTAATGGTAATAAAAAGCAAATTTGCATATTTTCCAATAAAACGTGTGTGTAATATTTGTTCATGTCTCACGGCTCTCAAACATCTGATGTTTATTCTATGTGGCTCTTGTGTTAAGCAAGTTTGGCCACCCCTGCTCCAGAATGACTCAATAAAGGAAGCCATGCCCTTCAGTTTGCAAGGCTGTCAATGACAGGACTTTTTGGAAGTCATTAATTGGAATCCAGCTAAAGTTTTGATGGCATATAACACAGATAATTTTATTGATATTTCCAAACATTTCTTTTCAAAAATGTTCACTTTACTCTTCCCCAGGAAATACTCCAAGTGGTGAGCAGCCAAATAAGATGAAACTTGCAATAGAATCCCTAAAACAGGGGTCCCCAAACTTAGTGAGCCTGCAGGCACCTTTGGACTTCTGACACAATATAGAGGAATGCAGCTGCAAAATGGCTGCCCCAGCTTACCTTCAGTAACACAGTGAAGATCTCTGTGCTGTGGTGGCAGCCATAGTTCTCTCTAAGTTGTGCTAGGGGGGTGCTGGTACACAAAATTTAAACAGGCAGCACAGGTATTACTGCTTTCAGTCCAAAAGGCATTTTCCCCCTGTGACATTCTCCTTATTAGGGAGGACTGGTTTTACTTTAAAAGTGTTCTGTATTTTGTTTAACAGGGTAGAATCAGCTGCCACGTGGAAATTTTAAGGATTTCCAAACCTTTATGCTTTTACTTTTGCTCTTACTGGTTAGGTAGACCGAGGTCAAGGCTCACGAGGAACTATGTCGTCCTGAGGAAGTATTTATTTCAGAGCTGGTATACTTGAATGAAAGAGGATTTATTGAAATTAAGCATAAATAAGAGGGTAGTACAATGTAACTAGGAAGGTATCCCACTCAATCTTATCCCTCACTGACAGGGATCTTTGCATGTAACTTTGTAACACTTGTTTTTCTCAATGCCATATACGTTTACTGTTTCACTCTAGTCTGTCACTCAGACTTTCCTTTAAATCTTATTCACTTCAACTTTACTGTTTCCTAGACACTCAGCTTTTAGCTTATAACTGCTTCCATACAGAACTGCTTGTCTCTCCTTTCACACACAGAACTAACTTTTTACACAGGACTGCTTCTCACTTCCCTCACACACAGAACTAACTTATTCCACACAGGACTGCTTCTCTCTCTTTTCCTACACAGAACTAACTGAACTTATCAACTGTCAACATGTAACTGTAAAACCTGACTGACATACATACTCATCCACTCAACCCCTCCCCCTAATCTGTCATCCACCAATCATATCACACTTGCTTCTCTCAACCACTCTAGTCTACTTACCACAGCCATGCAACCATACACACAAACCAGAGACACATACACACACAAACAAGGAATCGTTACACCCTCCATTGGAAACAATGGAGGATGGGGGCATCTCCTTCTGGGGCCCATAGAATTGTAGTCCCTGGTCCAATCCTTTTGAAACTTGGAGGGGTTTTTTTAGGAGAGGCTATGCTGCAAATTTGGTGCCTCCATCTCAAAAAACAGCCCCCCCAGATACCTCTGGATTGATTCTCCATTATATCCTATGGGACCCATTGACTATAATGGTCCCCATAGGCTATAGTGGAGATGGGAAAAAATGATTGATTTGTTTTTTTGCACACACCAGTATGCTTTTCAGTATGCTTTGTAAGCTGCCTTGAATCACAGGGAAAAGTGGGATATAAATATTTGAATAAATAAGTTTGGGCAGCTTGATAACATTAAAGCAACTTCCTGTTAGGTTAGGCAGGGTTCTGACAGTTCCTCCTCTGTTATACATGACCTGTAATGCTGATAGTCATATTTCACTAAAAACACAAAGTAGACTGCAAGAGTTTTTTTCTGCCCTAAGTGCTGGTATGTTTTCTAAGGCTCATCACAGGGTGACGGTCCAAGGTTAGGTTGACCAATATAGTGGACTGGGGCGGGTAGGCCTGTTCTCTGGAGGCCAGGTCTACCAATATAGTGGAAAGGGGAGGGCTGTACTCAGTGTTCTTCATCTCTGGCAGCAGAAAGAGGATTAAGGGGAGAGTGCTCCCTCCACCCTTTGTCATGCGATCATTTGGGCAGGAACAGAGCCTGAGCTCTGCTGTGCCGAGGGGAGGGGAGCACTTAGCTGTAAAATTCTAGAAGCTTGTAGAAAACGTCTTCACAGCAGGCCTGCTCTGAGGCAGTCCCATGTGTGCCTGTGCAGAAAACATTCGACTAGCATCAGTTACAGGTAAGTACACCCATGTTTTCCCTCCCTCACAGGTAGTTTGTGGGGTAGAAACAGCTTTGCACACAAACTCCTGGGTTGTGAACAGCATGGCCTTAGTGAACAAGGATATCCTTTAAAGTTTTACATGGCCTGGGACCAGTATATCTGAGGGACCACCTCTTCCCGTATGTGCCCCGAAGAGCACTACGCGCTATGGATCACTACCTCCTGGTAGTCCCTGGCCTGAAAGACATCTGTCTTGCCTCAACCAGGGCCAGGGCCTTTTCCGCCCTGGCCCCAGCCTGGTGGAACATGCTCCCCATTGAGATCAGGGCCCTGCGGGATCTTCTTCAATTCCGCAGGGCCTGCGAGACGGAGCCGTTCCGCCAGGCCTTTGGCTGAGGCAGCGGATGTCCATATATGGCCCCACTGAGGTATCCGTCACTCTGTTAACAACTACTGGCTGTACCCAGGAACCTCCCACAACCAGGAAATCTCTTGCTATCTGCTGTGACCACCATTTTAATATTTATGATGATGTTTTAAATTTAATTTTATTGTATTAGCTAATATATTTGTATAAAAGAAATGTTGTTATCCGCCCTGAGCCCACTTCCGGGAAGGGCGGGCTATAAATGTGAGTGGATGGATGGATGGATGGATGGATGGATGGATGGATGGATGGATGGATTCCACTCTCATTGTACTTCTCCATATAAAAGACCTTTTCCTGCACACTGACAGGCCCGCCGGTCCCACTCACCGCCACCCCTATCCAGGTCTCTTGAGGAGAAAGGTGAGGGGATTTCAGTGAAGACTGAGGGGATTTCAGTGAAAGACGTTTGCTGTCTTCTTTGCCTCGTGTTTCTGTGAAGTCAGCACTAGGATGTTTTTAAAAAATCTTTTTTTGTTTTTTGTTTGGCAGATTCAGTTTGAAGGAGAAGGGGATCGACCTGAAGCTGGAGGGTTTTTGGTTGAATTCTTTTTGTATGTGTTCGAAGAGATGAGCCATCCAGACTATGGGATGTTTATGTATTGTGAGAAGAATTCTCCAATGTGGTTTCCAGCTAGGGTAAGTTTTAGCTTCAGGGAAGCTTCTCGGCATGAGGAAGGGATGCAGGATGGCACTTGCCCTCCTGGCCTGTCGTGATTTCTCAGCCTAGCCACCCTCACAAGGTTGTTGTGAGCATAAAATAAGGCCGGGAGAGCTGTATATGTTGCTGTGAGTGCCTCGGAGGGAGGACGCAGCACAACATGATGGATGAACAGTAACACCACAACTTTCTGTCTATCTATTTGGCTTTAAAAATAGACTAAAGAGCGACCTAATATAAATTTAGACATGATGGTGTAAGTATTAGAATACTGACTTTGCTACATTTATAAATTTGTTCCCCCTGGCCTAATTTAAGCTCCTCAAACAAGGAGATTGTTGGATGGGGCGGGTATCATTCCAAATAGGGTTGTTCTGTAGTACAGTGAAGCATTTAAATCTGGTAGCCCGTTTTGTTCCTGGTGTCATCCTTGTAAATATCATGAGGCAAATACTTGGAGACATGTATAGAAGTCAGGACAGCTGTTTTCCTGTTTCTCTGTTTGCAAATGGCTTCCTCCACATCTGTAACTCCTGTTTCTCTAAGCGCAGTGTGTTACTGAAGATCAAGATGCTGCTGAATTCACTGAAACGTGCGCATTTGGCTACTCATACTTTTTAGATCCTCTGAAGGGAATCCTGTGCAGAGAAGCTGGACCAGGCTGTAGTAGCCTCAATGGCCTGCCCAGCTTACATGCTCAAAGTGGGCTTTAAACATTGCAAGAGACGAGCCGGTGGCTGCTCAAGCAACACCATAAACTAGGCTTGGCTTATGGTGTTGCTTGAGCAATCTGTGTAGCTTTTTCTCTCTTCAGACACTCACATCAGCTATCAAAACGGCAACAGCTCCAGGGTCCCAAAAACATCAGAAGCGTCCAGCAACATGTTAAAAAACAATGCACAATTAAAATGCACAATTAAAAACAATGTACAACATTAAAAGCACAGTTGAAAACGCAGCCAAATCTGCCTGTTACGTCCGCTGACCACCACTAGGTGACAGCGTATTTTACAGGAGCTTGGATCCTTAGGAACAATAGGGACTAGGATCCTGAAACCTCTAGCGGTCACCAATGGGAACCTTGGTGGGAAGTTTAAACCCACCAATGGAACCTGTGGGTGGTCCACAGGGACTTTATGTAGTTGGCCCTCTGGCCGGTATTGTTGTTATGTTGTGTACTAGTAAACATGTGCTGAATATCACTCTGTTTCCTGCTCATTTGATGCGTCGAACCCACTACACAACACTGCCCAAACAGCTCACCCTGCACACAATGCCCTGCACACAATTACACTCTGACAGGCCATTCCCGAAGACCCACTACACAACACTGCCCAAACAGCTCGCCCTGCACACAATTACACTCTGACAGGCAATTCCCGAAGAAAGCATCTACCACAGAGAATGCCTTGATGTAGCTGTGTGCATATGGACTATCCTAGGCAAGGGTACCACCAGGAGAAGGCTGTCTGAGGAAAGCAGCTGGTGCCCAGGAGTATACTGTGATCTCATGTTTTCCTTAATTGCAGCCTTCAGCAGAGATGAAAAAGTATTACCTCTTTGGGGTCCTCTTCGGGATGTGCCTCTTCAACAGGGTTTTGGTCTATATACCTTTCCCACTTGCTGTCTTCAAAAAGCTGAGGGGCAAGAAGCCCTCCCTCGATGACCTGAAAGAGCTGAGCCCATGCTTGGGAAAGTAAGTGGCTTACGTTTTCTTGGTCACTATTCATATATATTTCTTGTGGTAGCGCAAGTTCAGATTTCACAGCAGATGCTACCTAGGTGTTGTTAAAAAAAAGATTAAGCTTAGAAATAAATGCCAAAGAGTGCTCCAGGTTCGACCAGAAGTTGACTCAGACTCAAGGTAATGGTAACTCTGTAGGGCGCTCTAACTTATTAAAGCGAAGGGGCCTGTCCTAATTTAACATCTGTCAAGGCACATATAACTGAGAGTGACAGAGGATTTGAGTTTTGCCAATTTCTTTTGTTCTTCCTTGCTTCGATCTGCCATGCTAAAAATATGCTTGTAAATATTTTCTTTTTAATAAGTAGTTTAAACTGTTGGTGTGAGGAGCAGTTCTCTGAACCCCATAGACACCTCCCCCCCCCACTGTTTCAGACATTCTATTTTAAAAAGGCACTCCAGGGGAGTTGGCACGCATCTATTCCTCCAAGGCCTCAAACTGTCCCTGTGGGAGCCAGGCACTGGGCAGTGGAAGACACTGAAGCTAGGCCTCTGAGCTGGGAAGGAAAGCTGAGGGTCCTGATCCCATCAGTGGAAAATCCCTACATTGATGAGGTGGTGGCGGCAGCAGCTACTCGAGAGTAAAAGGAAAATCCCCTCCAGGAGGGCAGGGTGGTATGGGGCCTGCAGGCCAGTACAGGCACGTTCTGCCACAGAGCGCTCTGAACATCACAAGTTCCCAAGTTACAGCTTGCATTTAGCTTTTCCAAAAACATCTGGTTGAGATTTTCTGGACTGAGCTGCTCTCCCTCCAGAATGTAATGCATTTTGCCTTGCACGTAAGAAAAGAAATCACTGAATCTGCATTCTAAACTACTGGTGTTCCCCGTCACCATTAACACCTGCTCTTCTGCTCACAAGTGGTTGCTGCCAGAGCCCAGCTTCCAGCTGCCCTGTTTTGGAATGAAATATGGCAGCCAGCTTACCAGCAGCCACTGTGAGTAGTGAAGACTGGGGCTTGACCTCCAATGCAACAGATGGGGGTGGATTGGCTGGCCACACCATTTAATACCATTGCTCAATGTTATGTTGTAATTGCTTAGGAAACACTGTTTTCCTGCTTTTCTTTTCATTAATAAGGAGTTTGCAGGCAGTTCTTGATTATGAAGAGGATGATATGGTAGCAGAACTTCACCTGTGTCACAGTGTGAGTATCTCCAGAAGATTGGCATGCCTGCTCCACTGGCGCCATGCAGCTTCCTTTGGCGAAGTGCCATAATTGCTTGTCTTTTGGTGGAAGAGCAGTCAGCCAGCTACTAACCTGCATTTGGTCTCATTGGTTTCCACTGTTCCTTAGCCTGCTGCATGTAACTTAATGGTGATGTCCTTACCTTTCAGAGATGGGTATGTGGGTGTGATCACGCTCTTCAAAATGCCTGGAGGATTGTAACCATGGAAGCATGTGAAGGCTTGTTCTCTCATGATCCAGGGGGCAAGAGTAGATCTAAGGGTTGTAAGTTACAGGATGGTACCTTTCAGCTGAACATTAGGGAGGTATTTTTAAACAGTAAGAACAGTTCATCAGTGAATCCAGTTACCTATGAGGAGTTTGGGATCTCCTTCACTAGAGGCAAGGTCTTTAAACAAAACCTGAAAGCCATCTGTCAGAGGTGCTCTAGGTTTGGGTTCCCTGCGTTGACCCTGGGCAGTTGAACTGGATGGCCCAGATCTGAGTTTTTGTTGGCTTGGTTTTCTGTTTTTAATTTTTAAAAAATTTTCTCCAAAAAAAAAAAGTGGGATACCGAAGGGAAGAAGGGGTGGGGGGAATATAGATTTGTCAAGTTTGTCAAATATTATGAGTTGTCATGTACAACAAGTAAAATCAGGTGTATTACCAAATGTATTACATATTTTAAATATAGACGCAGACAATAAAACATCAGTATTACAGAAATTTGGGATAGATTCTCTCTTTAAAGAATAAACAAGAACTTTCCTAAAGTTAGCGATAATCTGTTAACGATAAAAGAGATTACATCTTTAGCAGTTGAACAAATTTCTGCGCTAAAATTAAATCATTGTAAAAACCTAAATATTGTCTTAAATATTTGTCTAAATCTAAATTTTATTCTTACTAATTATTTAAATACTAGTGGAATACAGAATATAATATTGAAATTATAATCAATATCTTCATCACCTTTAATATGATATGCAGATAATTCCAGAACTCAAAAAAGTTGATTATTCCCATAATATGAGTACTAAGCTTGCCATTTCTGTTGAAATTATTTCAGTGGTCTTTTGTCTATATAATTAGTTAGTTTTGCCAGTGTTGCACACTCAGCTATTTTTTCTTTCCAGATCTTTGTTGTAGGACAGTCTACTGTCTTCCATTTCATTGCAAGCTGTCAACATATATCTAAGTAGGTCTTGTGAGCACTATTCCCTCTAAGCTGAGTTAGTGTGAGCTAGCTCACAGTTTTTTAGCCTCTGGCTCACACATTTTTGTCTTCGCTCAGGAAGGATGGCTCCAGAGCAAACTAATTTATGCAGCAGCCAAATCGCTTGCTCACAACTTTAATGTCAGCAGCTCAAAGAGTAGAATTTTTGCTCACAGGACTCCACAGCTTAGAGGGAACATTGCTTGTGAGGTTCTGTCTATATTATCTAGTAGGATTCCAGTAACAGAGTCTCTGGTTTCATCGGGAATTTGGTTTTTAAAATATTTTGAATTTCTTCATGTATATTTTCTCAGTATCTTTTCATCTTGATGCAAGTCCACCACATGTGATAAAAGGTGCCATCTACACCTTGGTTTTCATGGGTTTTGATCCTGCCATCTTTTCTGCTTTCTCAACTGGGATCTCCTTTTTCACTGCAACCTCTGTGTCCTACATGGCTTTCCTGTCTGTGCAGGTCCCACAATCCCTGACAGCTTTTTTCAGGGGTCAAAAAAGGGCCCTTTCTCTCTCCTGCACCAGCAGATAAGCCAGTAGGATCCAACCTATCAATTTTTACATTGATTTTCAGATATCGTGGGACAACGCAGATGTAGATTTGATTCCAAATGGCAGATCAGTAGCTGTAAACAATGCAAACAAGTATGTAGCGATGTTTTCCTTATTTTTTTGTTTTGCAGCTATCCTATTTCCAAGGGTTTCCTGGTAGATCTCTAATTAATAAAATGAATGGAAAGAAGCCTTGTCTAAAAATAAACAGGAGTCCTGTAGCACCCCCTGGGGGCAGGAAAATATAAAGAGGTTCTCAAGAGCACAAGCCCAGTCAGTGTTTCTTTATGCAGTTCTTAACTTGTCATACAGTTAAGCCCTGCCCTCTTCTCTTTTCTCGTAACATCTGGGTCCAGAAAGCCTGTTCAAAGTCTGCCCAGTTACAACTTCCTGAAAGACTAAGAAGACCTCTCTTCATTTTCTTTGCTGCAACAACCTGGTGTACCCCTCTGGCATTATTTCCACTCTAAAGTGTATATTGCAATGGATAGATTCCTGGCCCTGAACCGAAATCTTTGGTCTGTGTTTAATGTTCAGTGAGTGACCTCGACCCAAGTAGGTCCCATTCAACCTAGCTTTTCTCACAGGTTTCTAGGGATTAGCATACACATTCCTCCCTGTGAGCTCCCTGGGTTCCAGTGCTATTTTGGTTGGTAGAAGGTGCTATCAAATCACAGCGGGCTCTGGGGTTTTCAAGGCAAGAGATGTTCAGAGGCGGTTTGCCGTTGCCTGCCTCTGCATAGCAACCCTGGTATTCCTTGGTGGTCCCCCATCCAAGTGCTAGCCAGGGCTGGACCCTTCTTAAGTTCCAAGAGCAGGCTAGCCTGAGCTATCCAAGTCAGGTCTAGTGCAATTTTAGGATCAGGTTAATTAACTGAGCTTAATAAATGTGTGTGTGTGTGCATCTATGTGTCAATATCTGTCTGTCTGTCTATGTATCTATCTACCTATATCTATATCTATTCAAGCAGAAATTTATCTGTATAAGAGCCCTCTGTGGTTATTGTTTGGTCTAGTGGTTAAGTGCGCGGACTCTAATCTGGGAGAACCAGGTTTGATTCCCCACTCCTCCACTTGCACCTGGCTGGATGACCTTGGGCAAGCCCTAGTTCTGATAAGAGCTGTTCTTGAAAAAAAAGAGCAGTTTCTGTCAAGAGCTCTCTCAGCCCCACCTGCCTCACAGGGTGTCTGTTGTGGGGAGGGGAAGGGAAAGGAGTTTGTAAGCCGCTCTGAGACACCTTTGGGTAGTGAAGGGCAGGGTGTAAATCCAATCTCTTCTTCTTCTCCTATGGCCGAAACGCTCTCCACGCCCCTTCCTTGTTTCCAGATTTCATTAAATTTATGGATCGCCCACCCCACAATTGGGCCCTGGGCAATTTACAATCATTGTAAAAACAATATCTTCATCACCTTTAATATGATATGCAGATAATTCCAGAACTCAAAAAAGTTGATTATTCCCATAATATGAGTACTAAGCTTGCCATTTCTGTTGAAATTATTTCAGTGGTCTTTTGTCTATATAATTATAGTTAGTTTTGCCAGTGTTGCACACTTAGCTATTTTTTCTTCCCAGATCTTTGTTGTAGGACAGTCTTTAAATAAGACTTTAAATAAGTCTTCCATTTCATTGCAAGCATTACTCTTGCAGCTGTCAACATATATCTAAGTAGGTCTTGTGAGGTTCTGTCTATATTATCTAGTAGGATTCCAGTAACAGAGTCTCTGGTTTCATCGGGAATTTGGTTTTTAAAATATTTTGAATTTCTTCATGTGTATTTTCTCAGTATCTTTTCATCTTCCACCACATGTGATAAAAGGTGCCATCTACACCTTGGTTTTCATGGGTTTTGATCCTGCCATCTTTTCTGCTTTCTCAACTGGGATCTCCTTTTTCACTGCAACCTCTGTGTCCTACATGGCTTTCCTGTCTGTGCAGGTCCCACAATCCCTGACAGCTTTTTTCAGGGGTCAAAAAAGGGCCCTTTCTCTCTCCTGCACCAGCAGATAAGCCAGTAGGATCCAACCTATCAATTTTTACATTGATTTTCAGATATCCTGGGACAACGCAGATGTAGATTTGATTCCAAATGGCAGATCAGTAGCTGTAAACAATGCAAACAAGTATGTAGCGATGTTTTCCTTATTTTTTTGTTTTGCAGCTATCCTATTTCCAAGGGTTTCCTGGTAGATCTCTAATTAATAAAATGAATGGAAAGAAGCCTTGTCTAAAAATAAACAGGAGTCCTGTAGCACCCCCTGGGGGCAGGAAAATATAAAGAGGTTCTCAAGAGCACAAGCCCAGTCAGTGTTTCTTTATGCAGTTCTTAACTTGTCATACCAAACCCCCTCAAGGTGTGGTTCAACTCACCCATCTCAGGATTACACTGTATTGAACCAGAGAAGAGCCATTTCCCCTTCCTCCCTTTTCATATCCCCAGCTTCACACCTGGTCCTTGAGTTAAGCCCTGCCCTCTTCTCTTTTCTCTGCCTTGTCTCATAACATCTGGGTCCAGAAAGCCAGTTCAAAGTCTGGCCAGTTACAACTTTCTGAAAAACTAATAAGACCCCTCTTCATTTTCTTTGCTGCAACAACCTGGTGTACCCCTCTGGTATTATTTCCACTCTAAAGTGTATATTGCAATGGACAGATTGCTGGCCCTGAACCGAAATCTTTGGTCTGTGTTTAATGTTCAGTGAGTGACCTCGACCCAAGTAGGTCCCATTCAACCTAGCTTTTCTCACAGGTTTCTAGGGATTAGCATACACATTCCTCCCTGTGAGCTCCCTGGGTTCCAGTGCTATTTTGGTTGGTAGAAGGTGCTATCAAGTCACAGCGGGCTCTGGGGTTTTCAAGGCAAGAGGTTCAGAGGCAGTTTGCCGTTGCCTGCCTCTGCATAGCAACCCTGGTATTCCTTGGTGGTCTCTCATCCAAGTACTAGCCAGGGCTGACCCTGTTTAGGTTCCAAGAGCAGGCTAGCCTGAGCTATCCAAGTCAGGTCTAGTGCAATTTTAGGATCAGGTTAATTAACTGAGCTTAATAAATGTGTATGTGTATCTATGTGTCAATATTTGTCTGTCTATGTATCTATCTACCTATATCTATCTATATCTATTCAAGCAGAAATTTATCTGTATAAGAGCCCTCTGTGGTTATTGTTTGGTCTAGTGGTTAAGTGCGCGGACTCTAATCTGGGAGAACCAGGTTTGATTCCCCACTCCTCCACTTGCACCTGGCTGGATGACCTTGGGCAAGCCCTAGTTCTGATAAGAGCTGTTCTTGAAAAAATAGAGCATTTTCTTTCCA